TACTAGAACCAGCATCTCTTTGAGAAATAACTGACTGTTCTCATTTGCCCTCTTTCCTTAAAAGCAAGAGGGACTTGGAGTGTCCTACTTATTTCAGATACCTGATTAAGCATTTTTGAACAATCAGGCACTCTACTGTTCTGCTTTCAAAAGCTAAGCAAAAACACTTCAGGATTTGCTCTCTCTTTCTGAAAGAGCTTGCAGGGCTTCTCTCCTGACCAACACATCACTGCTGAGACCAACAACTCAGACATCACATAAGCAAGTCCTCATAAACAGCTAAAAAATACAGTTAAGCACCTTGCTGTCATCAGTACCTACAAGCACAGCTAAAATTCAACAAAAAACATCTGAAGTGTCAAGCAGGTGACTGAAAAAGTGATAAAGAGTAAGAGACAAACTTTTAGGATTGCTCTGCATAAACCATTTAGTGAAATACATCTGTGACCAGTAGGAAAAGTTTCCTTAGTCCCCATGGTGTGGGATTTGATTTCTGAATTACATGTGGGATCTGTGATCTGAACCATACTTTCATGAAGTCATGGATTTCAGAAATATTATTTAATGGGCCTGGAGATACAGGCTTCATTATCATGTTCTTGCTTGAAAAACATCATCAAGGAAAAAAATCAGAATCTCTAAATCCCATTTCTCAGTCTGCTGATGCACCAACTCTGGCCACTCCTCAAGCAACCCCCAACCCAAGTGTCCCATGCATTCATCTCCAACACAGGACTTGGAAATCAGCGCTGGGAAAAGCAGTTGTGAGAAATGTGAATTACTATTCCAAGCCCAGCAACTCTGAAATCCCAGCAGCACAATGTGACGCAGTGCAGGGAGGAGACAACACACAGGCTGTGAAATGATTCACTGCAACACCAAAGTGCAGAAGGTGCTGGGATTTCCCTTCAGTAAATGGGAATAATTAAAGTGTGCTCAGGCATCGTGGCCACAGGCATCATAACAACCACAAGTGAATACTGTAGGGACTGTCTGACCCTTGGAAAGGTTCTGTGGGAAGCCAGTGGTGTGAGAAGTTGGTCACTAGGAACTTCAGTTCCCTCTCAGCAGCTCGATGCAACTGCCAACCAAACAGTGACTTTCCAGATAAGAAAACCTGAGCTAAAAGATAAGTCCCAGTTAAATATTTGGTTTCATTACCTTTTCAGAAAATTTTTCCATGGTACAGACTGAAGTTGAGGATTAGAGAGACTAAATCACCTACCACTCAACAGCTCATGTCTACATCAATGCATAGCACAGGTCACCAACCAGCCAAAAACAGTTGACAAATTCTGATTAAACTTGTCTGCAGGCAAATCCAACACAACCAAAGAAACCACCGTTCTGACAAGAGCAACTACTATAAAAGTGCACAAGCCAAATGAAATATTTCCTATTTAAAAGTATTAGCACAGGGACACAGAAACAACAGGACTTTGGTGACTTTCTAAACCACCACTCAGCCACACAAACCAGATTTCAGCCAGCAGCCCTCCAGCACTGGGAAGAATTCCATGCCCTTCTCTGAACCATGTTTCACAAGTAGTTCCTGATCCCAGCATGCTGACAGCAACATAAAACCATGGAATGGTTTGGGTTGGAAGGCACCTTAAAGCTCATTGAGTGCCACCCCCTGCCATGGCAGGGACACCTTCCACTGTCCCAGGCTGCTCCAAGCCTTGTCCAGCCTGGCCTTGGGCACTGCCAGGGATCCAGGGGCAGCCACAGCTTCTGTCTGGGGGCACCCTGTGCCAGGGCCTGCCCACCCCCAAAGGGCACCTGGGCCCTTTCACAGTCGCGCAGGTTTCTCAGGCGCTGCTGCCTCCAGTCACACCTAGCCAAGGAAGGTTGGATTCTCCACAGGGGAGACTCCCACCTGCCTTCCTCACCTCCTAGCAAAGGCAAAGCTGCTCTCTCCTGATCCCCACTCTGCACTGCTCACTGCTCCAGAGAATCTCAGCTGTGAAGCAGACCTGTGCATCGCTAACCTGGCAGCAGACACAATCCAACACGGCGGTCCTTGATGCGCACAAAGCAAAGGACTCAGCACAACCCAGCCCTGCCTGCACACACCTGCCTTCCCCATCGGCAGCCTGAGAACCAGGAGCACCTTGTTAAACCAAGCCCATGGCTGGCAGGGCTTCCCAAAGGTGTAACAAATCCCTCCCTGCTTTGTTTATGCATTACATGATGGCCTGGTTATGCACCTGAATGACAGCACCTTCCTGGGCAGCAGGTCTGGGAGTGCTTTAAAAGGACCTACCAAGTTCTGATACATCCCTAACACTACTGGAATGACAAATTTCTCAGGGAGACGGTGCTCTGTAGCTGAGATCAGGCAGGTCAGAACAGTACAAATGCTTCAAAGTCTGTCCTTGACCAGATACCGGTTCTGGAATGCCACCACACCAGAAAAACTCAAAGGTCAGCTCTTATCTAAGCATGATGTCAACATGTCTTTGTCTCTTTTGGGTGCTCCTACTTGAATCTCTGAAGTGGTCAGGGACATGGCCAGCAGGCTCTGAGACTCTGTTGGTGGCACAACTCTCACTAAAGGTCTAGAAGCAAACAGCAGATTTTTGGGGGGGAAGGTAGGGGCATCCAGAAGCATTGCAGAACCAAGGGACGGTGACCAAGCGATGAGAAGTGTACAGAATCACAGAACTGCTGGGGTTGGAAGGGACCTCTGGAGATCACCCAAGGCTGGATCTCCTAAAGCAGGTTACACAGAACACATCCAGGTGGGTTTGGAATGTCTCCACACTGAGATATTCCACCTCATTATCAAAATTAAAATAATCAGGATTCATGTCTTCCTTCTAAAGAAGTAAATTCAGAAAGACAAAAAAATCCAGCCCTCCTTGAGCAGCCTCAGCACTCACACTAATGTACAACAATGGCTCTGTACCATCAGCTGGCCCAGAGCAGCTTCCCAGCGGAAAACTCGCTCTTCCCTTCCTGCCTCCTAGCACCGCTGGAGAAGGATGGTATTTAGATGTGCTCAGAAGCTTGTACCAGCTCTTAAGGTTGACTTGAGGAGTTCCAGCTCTTAAGGTTGACTTGAGGAGTTCCACTAACAAGCACCAACACGCACTGAGGCTCGGCGGTGCCGGAGCTGGGCCAATGTCACAGCACCCATCCAACAGGACGGTCAGTGCTCGGGTGGCTCATTACTGAATACCCACAGGCACCAACTTTACACGGGCTTTGGTGGGCCTGGCCTAGATGCCAGTGTGCATACACACCAGCTTCTGAACCCAGAGACAATAGAGGGATCAGCCTTTTTATTAGCTTTCAAATCTTTGGCTTTTTAAGAGTACTCAGAACGTGAAGGCATGACTAACGCAAAGGGCGGAAAAGTCAGCAAAGAATTTCACGCGCTGTGTCTCTGAATGCTGCACTTCCTCCTGGGATTAAGAGGAGTGGCAAAGAAATTTCACTTTGCTAGACAACATGTGAAGCCATGAAACCCCCAATATGGGAAATTTAGCATAATTTTGGACAAATTTTTAATCAAATGTCTCCTCCAATAATTACTACAAGACTTAGAAATACAATTCTATTACTAATCCAAACAGTAAGTTTGTGGACGTTACAGAACAGGAATAAAGTTACTAAACTCTTGTTTCTAAGAGCACAAGAACCCCTTAATGTCCACCCAGGAGAGATCACATGATCAGCTAGCTACCAGCTTTGCACTGGGAGAAACCCAATCTCAAGCCACATTTACGACTTCACACGCATAAATTCATCCTGCGCCATCACCCCAAAACATAATGTGACATTTAGCTGGAATCTGATATTCAAAAGCTGTAACACCTGGTTATTGGCACTCATCCACGTGAGCATGTTCTCAGAGGATGCTGAAGTTACCAAGTGCCCACTGTTCACATCCACCCAGCCCAGTAAAATCTGCGCCACACAGCCCTTGACCAGTCACTAACACAGTCCAGACAACAGGCATCCAAATCCATTCAGTGATTTCTCCAGAGAGATCCGAACAACTCCAGGACAGTGCAGGAATTCAGAAGTATTGGTGACTATTTCCATCCTGGATGTGAAAGCCATTGGCATTCCAGCCAGGACCCCTGTGCCCATGCAGGGACCTTTTTGTTGACCGTAATGATACTTCACAGACTGAGGTTCAACACTTCCATGAGGGGGAAAGAGACCATCTACTGATGCAAGCAAGATTTCGCAGTGACTAGACACAGAATATGGCCTTTTAAGAGATTTTTGCAAAATACTGTAGTATGCACTCCCAGGGAAAATTCTGGGTTTGGAACAAAAATTTCCCTTCTTCCCTGACCTGTCTCAAGACCTTTTGCCTTGAGAAGGATCTTCCTCCTACACACACACACTAACACCTAATACTTATGCAAAGAGCATCCAGTTAACAACATAATTATGGAGCTGTTGTCATCATTTAATGCAACTCACAGACAAGAAGAAAATTCCCAGCAGTAATCTCCCAGATTCAAGAAGAGAACACACTCGTTTCACACTTCCGCTGGCACTTGAACCAAATCCTTTCTGAGTACTTTTTTCCAGGCAGTCCATTTAACAAATAAAGTAATTCCCCAATCATAAATATGCTCTCAGCTACACAGATTCAGACTGGCTTTACTTTACACAACAGGTTTACAACAAATATTCCCACTGTAAAACAACAAGCATTTCCTTTCAGGAGACAGGACCAAAGCATCTTGGAGAGAACTGCTAATGGCATTCCAGGTTTGTATCTGCAGCTCACAATACTCCAGCCAGCCACTATTTCCATGACTTGCTGCTCCAAAAACACCAAAGACTATTTCCAATAAGCACAAGGAATTTTATCTTCAGTGCTGAACGTGCTGCAAACCACACCACACTAGTTTTAACAATTCTTTAACCTAACACCGTCCAAAATTTAGCATTCCTACAAAAACCATATTTCCATCTGCCACTTTCCACCTTGCTCCCCCACCAGCAAAAGGAAACAAGTGAGTGCTACTTACAGTGGTACGTGGGGTTGTTCTGGGTCTGCTTTGGTCAGTTCCTCCTCTTCAACGTCCGACTCTCCCCCCGAGCTGCTGTCAGTGACATCCGAGTCAAAGGCCTGCTCGCTGCATCTCAAGTTGGCCATGCCACTGGCCGTGAATCTCTCCAGTTCCTCTGATATTGAATCACTCTTCAGGAAGTTGCTCAGGCCTTCCGAAGTAACTGTCTCGCTCGCAGCTTTCCTCAAGGCTGCTTCTGCTTTTCTGGTCAACATCAGCTGGCTCCGGTGCCTCAGGGGGTCCAAGGCTGGAAGCTTGCTGAGCGTTTTCTCCAAGAAGCCGCCCAACTGCTGCTGGATGTGTCTCTCCACCTGCTTCGCCTGCACCACCTGCAAGCGCTTCTGCAGGCGCCGGGCTCGGCTCTCGATGTCCGCCTGACGCCGCAGCAGGGCCCTCGTCCTCATCTCCGAGTCCAGAGCGCTGTGGTGACCAGCCAGCACAGAAGGTTTCTGCTCCTCCAGCTTACCGCTCCCGACACCGGGCACCCGCGTGTCCCCACTGCCGCCCTCGAGCACCCACTGCTGCTCTGCGGAGTTAAGGGAGGATTTATTTGCAGTGCTATTATTGCTAAAGGGAGTTGCGTGCTCTGCATCAAGGCTTCTATGTGGAAGAGTGCAATTGGTCAACCCGGTCTTCAAGTCCCCCAATTCAGAACCTCCTGTGTTATAGTCAACAGTCTGGAGGGCAGCAGAAGGAGAAGCACACTTCCCACCATTCAGAGAACTAGAGTTTTCATGGTCTGAATTGGTACTTTTGGCCAATTTCTTGGCCAAGCCATTCACAGGCGCTTGTGGGAGAGGTGGCTGGCTATTAGTACTCATTGTTTTTAGATTCTCCAAAGTGAATTCCAACACCGGTTGCCTCCCCAACAGATCACTTGTTTTCAAAAAGGACTGAGATAAGAGAGAGTGAGATTTAAGGACTGTCTGCTTGTTGAAGACTCCTTGCAGCTTCAGAGGCTCTTTTGAAGAGACAGATGTTACATCCGAGCAGAGATAAGAGGCCACTAGCGGCTGCAGCTTGCCCAGCTCTTCCTTCGTGGGGTTGTTTCGGAAATCTAGACTGGGATCCTCCGGAGCAATGGCTTTCCTTTTGGTGCCGTTGGCAGCCAGGAGGATGTTGTTGGCGTTGCCGTTGCTCTCGGCACTGCCAGGCGACAAGGTGGAGGACGGGGGAGCCAGCTTGAATCGGATGTGGTGAGCTTCGGCTGCTGCGTCAGTGAGAGCGGGCGCCATCGCAGCCATTCAGCACAGAGACACGGGAAGTCCAGCCTCTCCCGCTGCCGAGGCCAGCTCCACTGCCTCCCACTGCCGCTCCCGAGGGCAGCCTGCACAGGGAAGGCAAAAGACACAGTCAGGCGCCGCACAGGGAGGAAATAAATCAAACGCTTTGAAAACGGCAGCGAGATGCGGATGCGACGCTTGCGCTTCGCCGGCCTCCTCCCCCCGGGAGCCCCAGCTGCTCAGCAGAGCAGCACCAGGAGCAGAAGCAGGAACACATGACCCTCCAGAACCCCAGGATCTCCCACAGTTAGTGCCTGTAACTGCTGCTCCCATCTTTCAGTTTATCTGTGAGCACACCAGAACCCTTCCAGGCCTCCACGCAAGCTCCAGCCCTGGATGCTCCTACTCTTCAATGCCAGCAGCTCGCCAACTTCATCATTAAAATCCCTGAGCTACACCTATGAAATAGTTTTCAGTGCTTCTATTGCCAGCTCAGGGGTCTTAAAAATGACAGATTTGACTGTAACATGTAACACAGACAGGGCTTGAGGGGAACAAATCTCCATATGCTTAAACTCCCAGTGGCTGAAGAAACCCCACCGCTTCCCTGAAACCTGGATTTCAAGAAAGTCGCTTCCCTGGTGTATGTGAAACCTACTTTCCCAGAAGTACATTTCCGACTGAGCCAGGTGATTTCCAGTGTTAGCAACTCCCATTTCTCTTTCAAGAGCATGGATAAAGATTAACCCACACACGCACAGAGTTCCACACTGACTGTCAGAGTAAGCCTGGGTTTAATTCAACTAGAGCAAACTAATAAAAGGAAATAACTAAAGACTCTTCATTTCTCTATATTGCAGCCTCTTCCCACCCACCTACAAGTCTCTGGTCATTCACCCACTTTCCTTACCACTAAAACTGTCAGTGTTTTTAAATGCCTTTTAAAATGGCATTCAAATAACCCACAGAACTGGCTGTGCTGCCAGTGAAACAGTTACTTGATTTTCCTTTTACTGCTGAAGTTATTTACCATCTTCGTAAGATATTTCACATCAACTTAATAATAAAAGTTGCCCTGATCTCTTGCCTGATATGCCAATCCTCTAATTTCACATAAATTTGCATAAGCTTGTTGTAGCTGTACATTAACACACCCCAATGACCATATTAATGCACTACTTTACAGGAAAAGCAAGGATTATCTGAAGTTTCAGTATGTCTAAAAGGAAAATTTCACAGCCAGTTTGCTCCCAACATCAGATTCAGGTGCTTCTCCATAACAGGGACCAGAAAGACATCAAGGCTGAAAATCAAAGTACTAGAACGTGAATTTTTGTGGAAAGTCAGAGATGAGTTAGAGACACAAACCCACATTCCCATGGAGGGAAGGCTCAAAATTATTTACTCTGTGTGGTTTCCAATGAGTACATACATTGGTTAACCGTCCAGCCCCTCACCAGGTCCAAAACACAAACCCTCCACATTTCTAGAATCCCAAAATGATTTGGGTTGGAAGGCACCCTAAAGCTCATCCTGTTCCAGCCCCACTGCCCACACTGGGGGACCAGCCCAGGGCACAGAGATTTTTGGGACTGGTCATGTCCAGCTCTCACCCACCAGTCCTTCTCCCCAGGCTGCTCTCCATCTGCTCATCCTCCAGCCTGGACTGGTCCCCAGGGCTGTCCCTACTCTGCTAACAGTCCTTCTAACTCACTCTCCATAAAATCCAGTTAGGTGACACAGAAGGAGGAGTCAGGGAAGGAAGAATACACTCCCAGAGGAACCCACTTAAAAAAAGCTGCTGCAGCAGAAATATCAAGATGCTGGAGGAGGGTTCAGGCTTCCCAAGTCCCCAGCTCACAGAACTTACGGTGTTCTGTAATTGACTACACTTTATCCTTACTAAAAAAGGATCTGCATGTCTAAAAGTTTAGGCCACACTCACTGAAAATGGCTTTTAGTCACCATTTGGGTCCATAAATAAAAGCTGAACATGTCTATTCAGGGAAGAAAGAAAAAAAAGGAACTTGCAGGGAACTTTCCACTTGTAACTAAGACACCCTTGGGAGAGGAGGGAGGAAGACTATCAGAATAAAGACTTCCTCCACTCCAGCCTCCTTCCAAGACCTTCACCAGAGGCACACGCTGGGAATGACTGCCCCTAACAGGTTCCCAGTTCTGCAGAAACACGTGGGTTTCCCTTCCAGAGGGAACTCTGGCTCAGGGCTCTCCACCACAGCTTCCACATCCACAGTGGCTTTGGAAACACCCAACTGCAAAAAGAGCAGGAAGCCCTCCCCTTGGTGCTAAATGACTCCTCATGAACACAGCTGCACTGACTGCAGTCAGGCAGGAGTCTGCAGGAGATGCAGGCTGAAGGGAGTTAGTCTGTAGGTCATCAACTTAAATTAACAGAAGTGGGAAACGGAAGCAAAACTTTGACACTGCTTTTTCCTCCGGGTTAGCAAACCCACTTGAAAACAGCAAATCCTCCTGCTAAGCCACTGCAAACCTCCTTGGCTCCACTTTTCATTGAGTGGACAGCATTTAGAATACTTTGGAAGCCTGGAAAGCCTCCCCTAAGAGTAAGGCTTTGTTCTAGCAGCTTAAAGATGACCTCCAAAAATTATTTGGTCTATTTTTTGTATTTTATTAAAGTCCTTACAAACTCTCTGTGTGCTGGACAGCACTGGCTTCTCTAACACTGAATTAGATCTCAACTTTTATGAGCAACCCCTGGAAAAGACATTAAGGAACATCTGTAAGCATGTTCCCTCCCTCTGTTTATAGTGTTGTTATTAAAGCTGTATTACACTTATCAGGAATTTCTTCCTAACAGGGAATTGGAGGGGAGAAGGTGTTAAGGCATCTCTGAGGAAGGATAATAAAGAAAAGGAAAGGCCACAGAATGGGAAGGGAAGGTCATTCACACACTCTGAGGAACTTTCAGAACATTCTGCTAAGTCTCACAATAATTCCAAGAATTATCCCCAATCTGTTGCCTCCTCCTGGGACCCAAACTGAGCTGGCAAGTTCTACTGAAACTGCTGTCACCCATCAGCATTAGCAGATCCATGTGAGCACCACAGGTCCCTCTTGTCACTGTTTCCCTGCCAAGGCTCTTTGATTCCCAGCACTCAGGGTGACACATGTGGGACCAAGAGGCTTCTGCTCTGGCACAAGCCCTGCAGGTAGAGAACTGCCAGAGTGACTGGACACTGCTCCAGCTCCACCACCACAGCTCAACCCCAGCCCAGCCTTCAGCAGCCGTGGCACAAGCCCTGTGCTGGGCTTGGCTTGGCAAGGTCCAAGAGGAGCTGCCTCTGGAAGGCCAGCGTGGTGTTTACAGTGTGTCTTTAGCTAATAGTGAATGAACGTTCTTCATTTTCCCTGCAGAACTAGAGCACTGCCAGAGCACTTAGCAGTAATTAACAGAGCCAAGATGAAAGGCTGCAGCGAGCAGGTAAAACCAGGGTAACCGTAACTCGCCCATCTTCCCTCAGTCCCCAGGAGTGCATGGGAGGCCACAGAGGCAGCAGAGGCAGCAGGGCTCCTCAGGGGGCTTCCTGACCCACACCCCAATATTCCTGACCCACACCCCACATCAGCCACCCAATATTCCTGACCCACACTCCATGTCAGCCATCCAGTATTCCTGACCCACACTCCATGTCAGCCATCCAGTATTCCTGACCCACACTCCATGTCAGCCACTCAATATTCCTGACCCACAGACACCCAATATTCCTGACCCACGCCCCATGTCAGCCATCCAGTATTCCTGACCCACACTCCATCTCAGCCACCCAATATTCCTGACCCACACTCCATGTCAGCCACCCAATATTCCTGATCCACGCCCCATGTCAGCCACCCAATATTCCTGACCCACACTCCATGTCAGCCACCCAATATTCCTGACCCACACTCCACGTCAGCCACTCAATATTCCTGACCCACAGACACCCAATATTCCTGACCCACGCCCCATGTCAGCCACCCAATATTCCTGATCCACGCCCCATGTCAGCCACCCAATATTCCTGACCCACACTCCATGTCAGCCACCCAATATTCCTGACCCACATTCCATCTCAGCCACCCAATATTCCTGACCCACACTCCATCTCAGCCACCCAATATTCCTGACCCACACTCCATGTCAGCCACCCAATATTCCTGACCCACACTCCACATCAGCCACCCAATATTCCTGACCCACACTCCATGTCAGCCATCCAGTATTCCTGACCCACACCCCACATCAGCCACCCAACTCTCCAACTCCTGGAAGAGGGAGCAGAGGGAGGAGTGGGACACGGCCAAGGCAGCAATGGGAGGTCAGAGGGGCAGGAGGAACACACCCAGTCACACAACACCCGGAGCAGCACCAGGTCATGACACCCCTGAAAACAATCCCCTGGCCTGCTGACTTATTCAACACCCTCTGCTTCTAAAACCCAATTTTACAATCAGACATTGAAAGGAGAACTGGGTTTCCAAGCACATGACTTTGTGCGGTACCCCAGAAAATAAGCCCAAAACAAACACAGGAAGTTTTGGCTCTCTGAATTCTTTGTGAGGGTCATGAGAAACATGGGGATGTCTGAGCACTGGACACAGGAGGCACCTGTCTGAACTCACTCCAGTTTGCCTCTGGAAGGGCTGTCCATGCTTTCCTCCCAGACATCAATCCCACCGTGGCACCCACCCGGCTGCATCACCTGTGTCCCCCACCTGGCCACACACACCCACCTCACATGTTTACGTTCCTGGATTATGGTTTAACTCCCTGACATGATCCCAAATTCCTGCACTGCTGCACCCTAAAACCCCTTCAGCCCAAGCTCTGTCCTCCCAACACCCATTTCCTGAGGCACACAAAGGTGCTGTTAGAAGCAATAGAAGCAAAATCACCCTGAAGGAAGTGAGTATTATACCAATTCCCACTTCCCCTCTCCTCCCCCACTACAAATCAACAGCGCAGCCAACTCTTGAGTCCGTGTGGTTACAAATATGTTTCAGTCAAAAAACCAAAACAAAGCACACAAAAAAACCCCAAACTTGGTAAAATAAAATCCCTCTACACTTCATTTTGCAAGTA